CACACACACACACACACACACACACACACATCAAGTGTCATCCATTCCTGCTGGTTATGGGATCAGGGGTTTGCAGTACAAGATAGGTCGACGTGTGTGTGTGTGTGTGTGTGTGTGTGTGTGTGTGTGTGTGTGTCTGTTTGTATGAGATCAGAGATGTCCAGACCAGATATCTTGTCCAGAGACGACAGACAGAGAGAGAGAGAGTGACAAAAGACATGTCTCTTCTCCGCACTGCCTTTTATTACCGCTCTGTGTGTGTTTACATATATACAGTATATACAGTATATATGTGTGTGTGTGTGTGTGTGTGTGTGTGTGTGTTCCTCCCTTTTGATTCTACATGTTTTATTATTCTGTTGCTCTTTCGTAAATGTCACGAACGTCATTAAAGCGTCGAGATTTAAGGTCAATGATTGTTCATTAAATCTTTTCTGGCTCCTCTTCATCTCCTCTTCGTCTCCTCTTCGTATCCTCTTCCTTTCTTCTCCTTTTCCTCCCCCTAATCTCTTTATCCATGGCTCCTCTCCTAATTCCTTTTCCTTAATGTACTCTTTTCTCTGTGCCTTTCTCTCCTGTCCTCATCTTTCTCTCCTCTCCTCCCCTCATCTTCCTCTCCTCTCCTCGTCTTCCTCTCCTTTCCTGTACTCGTCCCTCTCTCCTTCCCTCTTCCCTCACCTGTGCTCCATCTCCTGCCGCTTTATCTCCTCCTTCTGTCCTCTCTGTCCTCCTCCTCTTTTCTGTTTCTCCCTTTGTCTTCACCTCCTACTCCCTTTCACAATGTTGAATATACACAAATGTTATCATGTGATTCTCACTCCTCTCTCCTCTCTCTCCTCTCTCCTCTCCTCCTCAGGGCTGGGAGGAGAGCTGTGATGCCGCCGTCACCCACCTCCTGCGGAGCTGCCTCTCGCGGAGCCCCAAGGACCAGGCCACTTCTCTGGCCCAGCAGGGAGGGCCCGTGCTGGGCATGCCCCACGACACCGCCCGCCTCAAGAAGCACATCACCCTGATGTGCGACCGCATCGGCAAGGGAGGCCGCCTCACCCTGGCCTCCGAGGCCAACGTCCCCGTCCCCGTCCAGGTCCAGAACCTGGCCGCTCCGGGTGAGTCTGGGAGGGAAGAGAGGGAGAAGGGGTGAGGGAAGGGGGGGGGGGGGAGGGTGAACAGGTAGCACAGGAGAGTGGTGGATGGGAGGTTGATGGAGTATCATGACGTCGGTCGGGTGTAAAAAACATTTTGCTTCAATCCATCCACCACGGAGCAGTCAGCATTGGTTCCTTTGAACCGTTCTTTAAGCTTTAACCTGCTAGTTTTAGCTGCCTGGACGTTATTAATCATAGTAGCAGATCATTTAGCCTTTGTTTTGGAGGGTACTGGCAAAAAACTGAATTTTTGGTTTCCCATTCATCAGATTAGCCCAAAATCTGAATGAAGCTGCTGTTATAACTATGGAATCAGAGATCCACCTTTTAAATATGAGGTGTGTCTTCCAAAAGAAAGAATACAAATGATCAAGAATTTACAGTGTTGAATTCACCACAACTGCTCCGCTGAGTTTAATATGTTCCTAAATTTGTCATTTTTATTATGCTTTTCATCATAACATCCTTTTTTTTTTTGAACAGTTGAAACTACAACTTAACAAGTCAAAGGTGTGTTTGAGTAAAATGAATCCGTCCGGGTGTTCAGGAGAACCTTTGTGTCCCCTGGTGAAGACTTTCGGCTTCGGCAGACAAAAACATGAAGTCCATTCATGGTCCACTTTACGGCCAACACACAGACTCGTATTTAAATGTTCTGTGTACACACACACACACACACACACATAAAAACACTGTGACAAGTACACACTTATAACACACGCACACACGTGAAATACACAGTGCAGACACACTCATAAGAACATGGATATGCTCATACACATGGCATGTACAGTTGCATCACACACACACACACACACACACTCCTTGACACGCGTACGAACACAACCATGCATGCACACACCTTACGGATCATTTAGTCTTGGCCCAAGTTTATAGAGGACTTTCTGACAAGATCATCAATTACTCTCCTCCCTCCCTCCCTCCCTCCCTCCTCCCTTCCTTCCACTCCCTTTTCTCTGGGTTCCATTCAGTCATTTCTGTCTAATTATGTTGTTCATGTGCAAAAGTAATGTATAGAAGCAGAGCGTTTTAGTCTCGTAGTGTTGAGTTGCAGGTTTTAAACGTTGCTGTTCCGTCTTCCATTCACACAGTTAAAGATGCAGAGAAAAAACACGAGAGCCCGACCGATATTTCAGGCCAAATTCTATATTAATTTATGCTTGTATTATTATATACATTATTATATATATATATATATATTGTTAATTATATACACATGTTGACTTGTGATGTGTTGAAGTAAATATGTACACAAGAAGTGTAGTCCTACAGTTTACATCATGCACGTAAAGATGCAAACACCTTGTGTTTCAAAAGAAGGTTTGAAATCCAGATGTTTTCCAGCTTCATTAGATATTAAATAATTGTTGTAATGTTCTCCATGATGCAGTTCATAATGTCCTGTTCTGATTATCAGGAGCGAGTGACGTCTCCGTCAGTCGACATGGAAGCTACACTAAGAGTTGCTGAACGTTAACAGCGCAGTCAACTCAACCGAGGGTTAAAGAAATACGCTAACTTGTTATGTTGTTATCGTGGGTCTAGCTATGAAGCTAGTTAGCAATCTAGAAAGATGACATCACCTTTCTATAAGCCGGGATCTGGAATCAGACTTTATTCAACTAATACGCTGAATAATACAACTGAACCTCCTGTCCTTGAAGATAAGACGCGTGTGTGTGTGCGTGTGCGTGTGCGTGTGTGCGTGCGTGTGTGTGTGTGTGTGTGCGTGTGCGTGTGTGCGTGCGTGTGTGTGTGTGTGTGTGCGTGTGTACGTGCGTGTGTGTGTGTGCGTGTGCGTGAGAGAGAACAGAGGTCTATAAAACTTTAAAGGCCTGTTTAAAAGTCATTATGGTGATTACAGTAATTTTGTACAAAGTTCAGTGGAACAGAATCAATTAATTAAGTGTGTGTGGTGGTGGGGGGGTTGTGTGTGTGAGAGTGTTTATGTTTATGTTTCCTTGTCATGCGGTCGCTCCTCTCTCCTTTGGTCTGCTGCCAAAATTCACACACACACACACACACACACACGTGCTGCAGTAAACAGTTGTTTGTTAGCCGTCTCAGATGTTGCTTTTTCACCCACCCGTAAACATACACACTTGTTTACGTTTCCAACATCACCGGCGGCAACTGTTTCCTTCCAGGACCACAGACACACACACACACACACACACACACGCACACACACACACTGGTATACCACACAACAAGCTCAGCTTCATTGGAACAGTGTGTGTGTGCGCGTGTGTGTGTGTGTGTGTGTGTGTGTTTTTTCACACACACGTTATCACTCTTTGTTTTATTTATTTATTTCTGTTTTAGTGTTAGGTATTAATTTATTATTATTTAGGTTTATTTATGTTTTTTGTGTTTCATTATTTGTGCAAATAAATAAACTAAACTAACAAATTATTATTTAGCTGCATTATAATTACTAACACAGACGGACTGTTACGTGTTCATACATGTGACTCTCTACACATATGAAGGTAGACCAGCACAGCTGCCCTTGATGAAGGGCTTTATCTCGTCTTTTTCTTTCATTGTACGAGTTGACGTTAAAGGGACAGTTCACCCCAAAATCAAAGATACACATCTTTCCTCTCGCCTCTCGTGTAGTTCATCGGTCCGGATTGTTTTGGTGTGAGTTGCCTGCTTCAGGAGATATCTGCCGTCTCTCCGGGGGACGAGATGACACTCGGCTTGTTGAGCTCAAAGCTCCAAAATAATAAAACAGAAAAGTTTCTTTCCAGAAATCACGAACTTGTTCCTCAAGATCGTCCACAGAGCTTATTGTTTCATGTTAGTTCTGCTGCTGCTTTCTATACATTTCTATTTGAGTAAATGAACCGCATGAAGCAGCAGTATTTTGGGAGAATGTCGCTATTCATATGTTGGCAAGCACAAGTTTGTATTTCTTTATTACTAATATATATTATTAATCATGTTTAGTATATTTGTTCTATTAAATTAAAGTTCCTTTCATTGAATATTCCTTTTAGCGCTCTCCAAACAGCTGCTGCAGCTGCAGAGAAGTGAGGCGTTAAAGTCATAATGCTCGTGGTGCATGTTGACCATCTAAAGCAACACGTGCACTTTAAAACGTGCACGTCAGACACTTTCAGTGCATTAGGGCCTCCGGTGTTATTGGTAATAGGTCATTAATAATCCAGGTTACGTGAACATTTTCTCCATATATCTCCACCTCTCCATCACCTGGCCCTCTATCTCACCCTGATGACATCATTCAGACCAAGAGCTACACTCTGTGTACACACACACACACACACACACTTTATCTCTCTAAATATGTCACTCTGCTGCAGCGAACATCTCTTTTGGCAACACTTCCGTCCTCCTCTTGTGCTGCTCTTCTTCTTCTTCTTCTTTCTGTTTCAATCTGCAGTCAAAGTGAGTTCTGTCGTCTTCTTCTTCTGTTTCTCTTTTTTTGTTGTCCACTTCCTGTTCTAATGCATTTAATGCTATAGTTTCTGATGTGCAAAGTCCAATTGAAAGCAAGCAGACACACAGACCACACACACACACACACACACACACACACACACACACATCCTCCTTGCCACACGTCACTGTAGAGCCCGTGTGTGTGTGTGTGTGTGTGTGTGTGTGTGTGTGTGTGTGTGTGTG